CATGATCCGACCGATCCAAGTACCGAACGTACGACACCTCCGAGTTCAGCACACGCTCAGCTCGGTGACGTCCCACGACCTCTGATCCAGCAGAGCTTTGAGGGAGAGTTCCGTAGGCACAACGGCGTGATGATGGTGATGATGATGCTACCGACGCAGGGCTTCGCCTAAGCACCACTAAATATATGACCGAGGTGGATTATGGTGGAGGGGGGCACCGCACACGGCTAAAAGATCAACTGATCAACTTGTGTCTCTTGGGGTGCCCCCTGCCCCCGTATATAAAGGAGTGGAGGAAGGGGAGAGGCCGGCCCTCCTAGGCGCGCCCCAAGGGGAGTCCTACTCCCATCGGGAGTAGGACTCCAATCCTTCCAAGAGTAGGAGTAGGAGAGAGTGAAGGAGAAGAGAGGGGAAAGGAAAGGGGGGCGCCGCCCCCCTCCTTGTCCAATTCGGACTAGAGGGAGAGGGGGCGCGCGGCCTGCCCTGGCTGCCCCTCCTCTTCTCCACTAAGGACCAATAGGCCCATTACACTCCCCGGGGGGTTCCAGTAACCCCCCCCCCCTCGGTACTTCGGTATTTGTCCGAACTTGCCCGGAACCCTTCCGAAGTCCAAACATAGTCATGCAATATATCGATCTTTATGTCTCGACCATTTCGAGACTCCTCGTCATGTTCGTGATCATATCCGGGACTCCGAACTACCTTCGGTACATCAAAACACATAAACTCATATTACCGATCGTCACCGAACTTTAAGCATGCGGACCCTACGGGTTCGAGAACTATGTAGACATGATCTAGACTTGTCTCCAGTCAATAAGCAATAGCGAAACCTGGATGCTCATATTATCTCCTACATATTCTACGAAGATCTTTATTGGTCAAACCATATAACAACATACGTTGTTCCCTTTGTCATCGGTATGTTACTTGCCCGAGATTCGATCATCCGTATCCTCATACCTAGTTCAATCTCGTTACCGGCAAGTCTCTTTACTCGTTCCGTAATGCATCATCCCACAACTAACTCATTAGTCACAATGCTTGCAAGGCTTATAGTGATGTGCATTACCGAGAGGGCCCAGAGATCCCTCTCCGACAATCGGAGTGACAAATCCTAATCTCGATCTATGCCAACTCAACAAGCACCATCGGAGACACCTGTAGAGCACCTTTATAGTCACCCAGTTACATTGTGACGTTTGGTAGCACACAAAGTATTCCTCCGGTACTCGGGAGTTGCATAATCTCATAGTCATAGGAACATGTATAAGTCATGAATAAAGCAATAGCAACAAACTAAACGACCATCGTGCTAAGCTAACGGATGGGTCAAGTCCCACATCATTCTCTAATGATGTGATCCCGTTAATCAAAATGACAACTCATGTCTATGGTTAGGAAACATAACCATCATTGATTCAACGAGCTAGTCAAGTAGAGGCAAACTAGTGACACTCTATTTGTCTATGTATTCACACATGTACTAAGTTTCCGGTTAATACAATTCTAGCATGAATAATAAACATTTATCATGATATAAGGAAATATAAAGAACAACTTTATTATTGCCTATAGGGCATATTTCCTTCACAATGTCTTTCCAGCATTCTTGTGCAAAGGTACAATCCCAGAAAAGGTGCCTCAAAGTTTCTTCAGTATTCTCCCTACATTGAATGCAATTGTAATCATCCAACTGCATATTTTTCTCTTCAAAAGATTCCTAATGTTGATTCTATCATGTACAAGAAGCAAGAAGAAGAATTTATGGCTTAATCTATTTGAAGTCTTCCAAATCCATTTAAGCAACATGTTTTTCAGTCTTTGGCCAAATAGCATTATACATTCTAATAGAAGAATATTGTGAGCCGTGCCCAGTTCCCTTCCATTTATCTCCTCTATGATCATTCCAGATCATAATCATTAGGTTTTGAATCTCATTCAGTTAAGTAAATGCTAATTCTGACAGTGGTGTGTGGAGCAGCAAATGAGGATTTGGTTATGCTGCCCAAGTGGCTGCAGAAATTGAGTCCTCCTTTACATATGAATACAGCTCCGGGAATTTGTTGGATAGAGGAGCATGCCACTTATCATGCCACAAAATGATAATTTTCCCATCTCCCATAGTGCATTGATAATTCTCTTTGAAAAGTGGCAGGAGCTTTAAGTGACTCCTCCACCAACTGGATCCTTCCATCTTATGCCTTGGAAGCTGTGTGTTGTAGTGAGTGTCCCATATGAGTTTAACCCATGGCAAATCTTCTTTATTGAAAAACTTGTCAAGATTTTTCAACAAGAGTGTTTTAATGTGCAAGGCAATATCCAAAATGCCTAATCCCCGTGATCCTTTGGTTGATGGACCTTCTTCCAAGAGATGGCGGCTGGTCCTTGTTGATCTTGCCCAAATTTTCTACAAAAGAAATGCCTTAAATATTTGTTGATTTGATCTATGGTGCTTACTGGAAGAGCCTAAGTGCTCATGAAGAATATAGGCAGAGCAGAGAACACAACTTTTGTGAGAATGAGTTTACCATCGTATGACAACAGACTGGAGCATCCACTCAATCTTCTCTCAATTTTTTGACAAATGGGATTGAAATCTTCCACTTTCAATCTGTGATCGGGCTGCCCCAAATAGGTAAATGGGAAACTTCCTTGTTTATAGCCCAATTCATTTAGTATCATGTTTAGAGTTTGAGGATTTACATTAAGAGGGATGATCACAGATTTTCCATAATTTATTTTCAATCCAGTCTGAGCAGCATAGTGTTTCAGTAGATTGTTGACTTGTCTAATCCGATTAGGCACTGCAGGAAACATCATCACTGTATCTTTAACATATTATATGATAGGAAAGTCAGGGTTTGATTGGCATGACAAAGGAGCTTGAATGATATTTGCATGCATGGCATTGTTCAACACAGTTTGAAGAAGATCAACTACCAATACAAATAACAAGGGGGAAACTGGATCTCCTTGCCTAACCCCCTTTTTGCAGTGAAACTGCTTGCCAGGAATGCCATTTAGAAGAACTGCTGAACACCCTGAATCTAGAAGCATTTTAATCCACATTACCCACCTGTTACCAAATCCTCTTACTTTTAGAATATTGAGTATAGCCTTGTGTTCAATAAGATCAAATGCCTTTTCAAAATCCAGCTTAAGAATAATAAGCTCCCTCTTTGATTGTGTGCATTGATGAATGAATTCAAAAGCCCACGCTAAGCAATCTTGAATTGATCTTGATTTGAGAAATCCATATTAATTTGTGTGAACAATTCTGAGAATCACCTGTGATGATTTTGATAGTGCAGTTCAGAAGAGAAATAGGTCTAAAATTAGCACGGGGCATAGGATTGTCTCTTTTTGGTATGAGGGTGATGAAGGAACTGTTGATTGAATTCAAACTGATCCTTCCATGATAGAAATCTTCAATGAGCTCATAGAAATCCCCAGCTATAATGTCCCAACAAGATTTGATGAACTGTCCATTGAAACCATCAGCCCTAGGGGCTTTATTTGTGGGCATTTCCTTTATGATTGCATTAATTTCCTCTTTACTGAAGGGAATCTCTAAATCTGCCAAATTAACAACAGATTGTAGAATACTGGGAAGGTAAAAAAAGTTGACAGTCTCATTTAATGTCCGTAGTCTTTCTTTGAAGGAATTCCATAGAATAGCGTCCTTCTCATGGTGCTGAAAGTGTTCCTGCATATTTCCATCTCTTAGTACAACAATGTGATTATTTCTGTACTTAATAGTGGCTTTAGCTTTGAACAACTTTGTGATCTCATCCCCAAATTTGACCCATCTAATAGTGACCCTCTGCCTCTAATATGTGTTTTGGAACTCCAGCAATTTTCCCAAATGATCTTGATGATGTCTCTACCATTTGATTCCTCTAATGAGAGTGGTCTATGATCTTCCAATATGTCAAACAACAGAATTAGCTCATTTGCATACTTGATACTCATGGCCAAATTGAAGATGTGCTTGGCCCAAATCTTTAATCCGTTTCTAAGTCTTTTGAATTTTACAGTAATTCTATGAGCAGATGATTTAGCATTCACTGGTTGCTCCCATAACCTTTATTCCACTAAGGGTTTACTCCACCGGATTCTTCTTTATTTTTAGGGGATCGGCTAGAATTGCTCTTAGTACCATTCGATGTTTTAATAATTACCAAATATTTTTTTCATAAAGTTAAGACTCAACGCAAAAAATTCCCGTTAAAAGTGTGTGTAAAGTAGATCTTGTATTTTTCTTTTATGGTTTCTAATTCTAGAAACCAAACAAGATCAAATTAAAAAAATCATAAAAGGACAAAATCCTCAATTTATATGAAAATTCTTTGAACTAAGAGGCTCCTACTCGCTTTTTGTGTGTGGCCGGATAATAAAACTAGCTAGGGCCGGCCGCAAGGCAAAAATATCTCGTCCACCTTCAGCGAGGTCGGTCGGTTCGTCGTCTGACAGCATAAAATTTACGCAGACACCCATCGTCGTCCAAGATCTTCTGTGGCCGACGAGATGAGTGAGCGGGAAAGACGGCGATGTCCAGCTGAAACAATACGCACACACACACACACGGACGCACACACAGGGACAGGGAGCATCCAGCTTTCCCAGCACCGTCCGCAACGCGACGCGCGCAGCTCGATCCCTCGCTACATCTGCCGCGCATCGCTGACGCCAGCACACCACTAAGCGCCTCCACGCGTCCCCATCCGGTTGGGCGTTGGCCACCATGGCCCCCACGTCCCCCAGCAACAGTCGCCACCGCAGCCACGGGCCCAGCCGACATGGCGGGTCCCACCTTCCGGCGACCCGACGCACCGTGCACCCCAAGTCGGTTTTCCTTCCCCCGTCTGGGGCTATATATACGGCTCCCGGCTCTCCCACGGCGTCCTTTTTAAATCGATCCAACCATTTCTACAAGCAATCTGCTTCTCTCTTCGTCTTCACCAGCACCAGCCTCGAGATCTAGAGAGGGAGGGAGCATGAAGGTGGAGAGGCCCGTGTCCATGATGCCAGGCCTGGCCGACGGGTTCTTCACGGAGGCCGACCTGGCGGCGGCGGACCAGCTGGTGCAGCTCAGCGTGAGCGGGGGAGCGGAGGCGACATCCCCGACGTCGTCCACGCGGTCGGTGCAGTCGGTGAACAACACCGAGGCGGCGGGGAGGAAGGGCGGCTGCGATGACGGCGCGCCGTGGCTGGACAGGAGGGCCAGGAAGCGGTACCGGCGGGTGGCGGAGCTCTACCACGCCACGCGGCCGCTTAAGCGCACGGACGCCGGCGGCAAGCGGAGGAGGGAGGAGATCACGGGGAATCGGTAGGAGTGATCAGGTCGATCGGCCCACTGGGCTAACTGCGCATTTGTGTAAATACGTCGTTTTGTAAGGTGTTTACTACCTTTACTCCTCTATTTACCTTTTTCCCCTGTGCGAGTGGCCATGGTCCAGGAAAGCAGCAAAGCTAGCTTTGTACAGAGTTTTGAGTAGTTTTGAATTTGGTGATGTAGCAGCTCGATCGGAGAACGCCTCGCAACTTGCAAGTTGTTTGTTCTTTGTGTTTTCTTATTCGTTCATCTCTATGGATGCTTTGCTTCATTCTGGAATGTTCCGGACCATGCTGGCGTATCATAGTCATAGGTTAGTAAATGACGCCTTCATTTCGGCTGTGGCCAAGCACGCAGCCGTACGCTTCGTCTGCAAGCAAAAGAAAAACTACGCGCGTACTACTGAGGGCATCACCGGTGTATATAACCAACCCATAGCTTTGTGGCTGTAATTTTCATCGCTATATGTAGTGCCAGGTAATATCACACAACTCTCAGGCGGAGACACGCATTTGGATTAATTGACTACTAATTAATCTAGCAATGAGTAGTACGTACTAGCTGCGAGCAAGGGAAATGGATCTGAACATGCGAAGTGGCTGACCCAAACAAGAGAAATCGAACACAACGGCGTGAATAGTGTGGGTGTGACGTTGGCTTTGCTCCTCGGCTAATACCAATGTTACGGAAACAATGAACACCCTCCTCAAAAGATATTTTTTTAACCACCGACAGACTAGTTACTTTCTGCAGTCACAGTGATCTCGTGTTCTTGAGAATGGCGATGCGGCACACTTGAGAATATTCTAGTTGGTTTCTCGACTCTCACGAATAGCTACATATTTTTAATTGCCATGCAAGGTGTTTTGAGAATGGCAAACTGCGAAGCTTTTGGAATTATCGGTTAACGTACTCTCTTCGGTCATTTTTACTCTGTGTATAAAAATTGTTTGAAGTTAAATTTTATAAAGTTTGATCATATTTATATAAAAAATATTAACATCTATAATGCTAAATTTATTTAATATAAAAATTAAAGTCATGACAAATGTTGTTGATTTCATATTTTTAATGTTGGTGTTTTTCTATAAATTTGGTCAAAGTTACCAAGTTTGACTTGAAACAAATCTTATATGCGAACTAAAGACTGAAGTAAGTAGAAGATATTGCTCATGAAGGTTCTAGAATGAATAGTTTCTGGAATTATTGGTTAATGTAGAAGATATTGGTCATGAAGTGTAACACCCTGAGACTGATGCGTCAGGTGTCTTTCAGTTATTTGCTGCTGTTGCCTTGTCATTTTTTTGCATGTTGCATCTTGCCATGTTATCATGTGCATTGCATTATCATGTTTTCAAACTTGCATCCGTCCCGGTCTCTCTGTTCTTTCCGTTGTCCATTCTGAGACCAGACACACTTGCACGTACCCACGGTACGTCCGAAATATTATTTTATAAGTGACCGAAAAATATTCTTGGAATGGGATGAAAGTTGGCATGCGGTGTTGTTATGTTGTCAGTAGACCGCCTGCCAAATTTCAACGCATTCGGAGTTCGTTTGATGCGCCAACAGATAAATATAGCGGCAATAATAGCCAGTCTATCGTCGGACATTTTCGGTCTTCGGAAACTGTTGTCGGGCTGTAGTCCCCCTCTTTCCTCTCAGCCCAACCCCTTTTCACAGCCCACTAATCCATCCCACTAAACCTCCCCTCAGACCGGAACCGTTCGATTGCGATTGAAGGGTCCAAATCGGTCTCAAACCCACCAAACCCTAACCCCTTCCTTATATAAATCCCTCTCCTTTCCATTTTTGGCCTCCTCCAACCTCCCACCTTGTTTTCCGCGCCTCAATCATCAGCCGCCGTCGCCCTCATTGCTTCCCGCGCCAGCCACCTTCCTCAGCGCCACTTGGCGATCCGCCAGTGGGCGCACCACCTCCAGCCGACCCCCTCCAGCCAAGCAGAGGAGGCCACGCGCCACCCTGCCTTCCCGCGCCGCCGTTGCCCGCGTAGGCCCGGGGCAAGCCCGCGGAGCCCATCGGGGCCCGCCCCCAAGCCCGCGCGCCGCCGCCTTTGATCCAGATCGGGAGAGCCCCGTTCTCTCCCCCCACGTATCCCTGATGTCCGCCGCCGGCGGCCAAGGCCGCCGGAGCTCGCTCGCCGCGACCTCGTCGGAGCCGACGCCGGCGACCCCATCTTGTCTCACTGCCAGGTCGGGGCCCTGTCCCTCTCCTCTCCTTTTCTCCCTCTTCTTTCTTTCTCTCCCTAACCTCTCTGCTCTCCTCCTTGGTCAGTGTCGCGCCAGGGCTCCCTCGCCGTCGCCCCACGACGAGCCGCCGTCGGATCCGGCCATCTCCGGTCCATCCCTGCCGGATCCGCTTCGTCACTGCCGTTCCAAGCCCCGCCCTCGCCGGAGCCTCCTAGCGTGCCGCCCGTTGCCTCCTGCTCGTGAGCCAGGCACGAGGAGGACGACGACAGGCGCGTCGGCCCCGTGGGCCGCTTCCAGCGCCGAGCCGACCCACTGCTCCTCCGAACTGGGCCTTGGCCCATGGTGAGGCCACCCCTGAGCGCCCTCCTTTGTTTTTTTTTCTTTCCCCTGCTGTCGGGCCAACCAAGTGCTATGTATGCCAGATTCGGCCCATGTCCTTTCCCCCCTCTCTGTGATTTTAGCTATTATCCCTGGAATGTTTGTTTTGCAGAAAAGTCCCCTAGTTCATGCATTTAATAACTCACAAATGGTGCATCGGCTTAAAATGATTTATATATGATAAATGACTAGAATTTCATCTAGTTTAATAATTTCCAACTTTCATGCATGTTTAAAATGTTTAAACTTGCTGTTTGTTTAATTTGCTAAAATGCCATGTTAAAATGCTTTATTTCATAACTAAATAACCGTAGCTCCAAACTTAATAAACTTTATATGTAAATAGGGTAGAAAAATGCCTAGTTTAACATGGTGTACTTGCTTTGCATGGTCAACAACACTAAAATATGGTTTATGGCAGAACAGTACCAAATCCATAATTTGCATATGAGGATTTTCCAGACTTGTTGTTTGTTGTTCCGGCCTCATTTAAACTTGCATAGATAGGTAGTTTTATTATGCTTCACCCCTTGCCATGTTTAACAACATTTAATATTGTTGGGTACATAAACGGGAGAGAACTAAATAATTGGTGTGGTGTTTTGTTGATATGCAACTCGTTGCATATTGAGCTCCACTTAACTTGTAGAGTTGTTTGTGCATTTTGCCATGCCATGCCTCATTAAACCAGACATGCATCATACTTGGTTGCGCATCATGCCATGTTTATGTGATGGTTGTTTACTATGTTGCTTGCTTCTTTCCGGGTTGCTTCTCTTGTTAGCTTCGGTTCCGTTCCGGAGTTGTGAGGATTCGTTCGACTACGTCTGTTTGCCTTCTTCATGGACTCGTTCTTCTTCCTTGCGGGATCTCAGGCAAGATGACCATACCCTCGAAATCACTTCTATCTTTGCTTGCTAGTTGTTCGCTCTATCGCTATGTCGCGCTACGTACGACTTGTTATATCATGCCTCCCATATTGCCATGTCAAGCCTCTAACCCACCTTCCTAGCAAACCGTTGTTTGGCTATGTTACCGCTAGTTGCAAGTGAAGATGAAGTTTGTTCCATGTTGGAACATGGATATGTTGGGATATCACAATATCTCTTATTTAATTAATGCATCTATATACTTGGTAAAGGGTGGACGGCTCGGCCTTATGCCTGGTGTTTTGTTCCACTCTTGCCACCTTAGTTTCCATCATAGCGGTGTTATGTTCCTTGATTTTGCGTTCCTTACGCGGTTGGGTGTTATGGGAACCCCTTGACAGTTCGCTTTGAATAAAACTCCTCCAGCAAGGCCCAACCTTGGTTTTACCATTTGCCTCACCACCACCTACTTTTCCCTTGGGAGTCGCGCTCCCGAGGGTCATCTTTATTTTTAACCCCCCCGGCTAGAGCTTCTCTAAGTGTTGGTCCGAACCGAGCCGCCTGCGGGGCCACCTCTGGGAAACTCGAGGTCTGGTTTTACTCGTAGCTTGTCTCATCCGGTGTTGCCCTGAGAACGAGATACGTGCGACTCCTATCGGGATTGTCGGCACATCGGGTGGCTTTGCTGGTCTTGTTTTACCATTGTCGAAATGTCTTGTAACCGGGATTCCGAGACTGGTCGGGTCTTCCCGGGAGAAGGAATATCCTTCGTTGACCGTGAGAGCTTGTGATGGGCTAAGTTGGGACACCCCTGCAGGGTATAAACTTTTGAGAGCCGTGCCCACGGTTATGTGGCAGATGGGAATTTGTTAATATCCGGTTGTAGAGAACTTGACACTAAACTTAATTAAAATGAATCAACCGCTTGTGTAGCCGTGATGGTCTTTTTTCGGCGGAGTCCGGGAAGTGAACACGGCCTTGTGTTATGCTTGAATGTAAGTAGTTTCAGGATCACTTCTTGATCACTTCTAGTTTCTCGACCATCGCGTTGCTTCTCTTCGCGCTCTTAATTGTGTATGTTAGCCACCATATATGCTTAGTGCTTGCTGCAGCTCCACCTCATTACCTTACCCTACCCATAAGCTTAAATAGTCTTGACCTCGCGGGTGTGAGATTGCTGAGTTCTCGTGACTCATCGATACTTCCAAACAGTTGCAGGTGCCGATGATACAAGTGCAGGTGACGCAACCGAGCTCAAGTGGGAGATCGATGAACATCTTGTTCATTGTGTCGTTTCGTTGGAATCATGTATGAACTATTCATGTATTGTGTGAAGTGGAGATTGTAAGCCGACTCTTTATCCCTTTCTTATTCAGTACATGGGATGTGTAAAGATTACCCCTCTTGTGACAAGCCTACCATGCGGCTATGCCTCTCTAAGTCGTGCCCCGACACGTGGGAGATATAGCCGCATTGTGGGTGTCACAAGTTCGTAATCAGAGCCATCCCCGACTTAGGAGCCCCCTGCTTGATCGAATCGC